TTCCCATCGGGAAATTGAGTTAACTGAATACAAGTGTCAGAGTGTGTGTGTATTTGTTATTAGGTGTTGTTCTTTTTCAACTGAGAAGGGCTAGGTGGGTTATATATTAATGTTTTATTATTAGGTGTGCTATTTATGTGCTATTTAGAACCCCACTAAGTAGGCTACAATGGGCCATGGGTATAGTTAAATTACATTGTTTAAAGTGAAATTGGGTGTTGGTTTCAGCTTGCCAAGTCAAGAGTGATTGGCCTTCACCAGTTTCCCTTCCTCTCCCTTTGTACCTATTGTACGAAGAGATGTGAAGGAAAATGCTTCAGAAATGACTCTGGGATGCGAGGTGCCCAACGTAATGTCAAGTAAGGGCACCTTCAGCAGCGCAAGTCCGTGTGCGTGTATGTGGGTCTCTCTCTCTCTCTCTCCCTCTTCTTTGTGGCAATGGATTTTGCATGACTTTGCTGGTGGGTGTCAGGATGTCTCAGGTATGATGCACTCACTGTGTTTCTTGGCGCCCAGATGTTTGGTTTGGCGAGGGTTTTCACAGCCTTGAAATGCTTCACTTTCACCACACAACGCTTAGGCCCTACCCTTCCTATCACTTCCAGGATCTGGTGCAGACAGACCTCTGAGATGAGTCATCAACCTACAGGACTCAATTTGCTGCATAAGTACGGACTGATTTATATGTTGTTCCATGTTGTTCCTATGTCTTGCATGTTGGTCTTCTCCCACTTCCAAGGTGACGATGTGGATGAGATTGTGTCTGCATGCAAGGTGGCTCTGGGCCTGGGCAGACAGAGCAAACACCTTTAGACCTGTGGGATTCATATGAGCTCCCCGACCCCATTTCTTGCAGGGAGTCTGGCATGTAGATAGCAGATGCTAGCAGATAGCCTTCCAACGTGTTTCACTTCTTCCACGTTCATGTTCCAGCGGGCCAGGGGGCAGAGCAGTACAGTGTTGGCAAGCAGCAGTTCGTTTTGACCTTTCAGAATCTGCCCTTCCCTTCACAGCCGAAATTGCGATTTTGGTAGGCCCTGTCGTCCATGAACATTGAGTGCTCCGCCGTGGCCAAACTTTTGTCACACAAGGAGCCACGAGCCACTTGTTGAAGCGGAGTGAGGCCTAACGACTAAGTGGTTTCGATGGTTGTTGGGAAGATGAAATTTGATGTATTTTACGATTCCGTTTTTGGACATGATTCCGGCGCACTTTTGAGAGGCAGATGGTCATTGCCGAAGCCAGTTCTAGACATCAAGCAACATCGCATCATATTAAATACACATTGGAGTTGTCTTCATTTATAATATACCCAGTTATATCCAGTTATTGCATGTTCAAGTTCAATCGGTTTGATTTGTTTTGGTTCTCAAAAGGCGTTTGGGTTCTAAACGTGGCCCTTCTGAACGCCCTCAGGTGCAGGTGGCGGCCGCTGAGGCGCTGCGCAGCATGGAAGGCGCAGAGGCCGCCAGCTCGGGGTTGGCACAGTGCCTCAGCTGGTGCCGTTGGACGGTCATTGAGAGCACGGAGAGGGGTCAGACGGGGGGGGGGAGGAATCAGTGCCTCGGTTGGGAGGTGTTTGTGGTCGGCGTTTCTGGGATACTTGTAGGATGTAGGATTGATTGAGTTGGTGAGGAATGTGAGCATTGATAAGCACTTCAAGCTCTTTAGAAGTGGACTTCGCATATATCGCCGTACGGCGTACGGCGTCCAGAGATTTGCGCGAAGGACTTCCCGTTTCGCCCAGCCGGACGAGACTCGCCAAGGCTCCTGGGCGGTGACTGCTATGTGCGCGTGGCGGCGGCGAAGACCTTAAAGTCTTTGGGCGCCAAGGCGCAGAGCCAGGCGCGATGGCGATTGCGAAAAGGTGAGAAAAGATGCCAAAATGTAATTCCCCCCTTTGTTGACTCATTGTAATTAATTAGCAGGTTCTTGCCCAAAATCTCAGCTGGGCAGGAGTTCCGGCCCCCTGTAGCAGACGGAACTCACTAGGGATTGGTGAAATGTACATGCTGTTACCGGGCGGATTGGTTCCAAGATGTTCCGGTCGGCGGTTCATGGCTGGGTTTGTGGCTGGTCCTGCAACGAATCCACTACTTGCTTTCCCCCCCGATCACCCACCCCCACCTGGTTTTTCATCAAACAGGCAGCTGCCATTGGAAAGCTTCTAAGAGACTCCTCTCCGGGCGTGGTGGCTGCTGCAGCCTATGTCCTTACCGGCATGGGCCCGGCCGCCGCGGACTACGTCTCAGCCCTAGAGGCGGCTTTGGCGAACGACAAGGACGGACGGCGGAGCCTGCCGTGGTCGAGACCACCCGGTTGAACGGCCACCGCCCACCGAGGTGCAGATGAGCAAGCAGATGGAGGGGACCTCCTCATTTCAACACCCCCCGCAGAAGTTCCGGTGGTTGATTGCAAGGGTTTTAACGCTCAGACAACAGTCGGATTTCCGAAGCTTTGGTAGTTAAGGTTGAGGATGTCCTTTGGACTCTAGACATCTCTAGACCCTTGCACTGATGGCTGGAGCAATCAGGAACTCTTACATTGATGATGGAGTTGGACAGCATCTGAATATCCTAGACAGCCTGAAAATGCCAGATGATAACGGCACATGTTTTGACATTCTTACCCAATACTCTCCACTTGCACGATCTTGGGACCATTTGTTCCTGTCCCCTTCGCTGGACTACCCAGATCAAATCCCAACACAGATGGCGGTATGGCTGAGAGGGTAGATCCATAAGACTGCAACCACAAACAACACTTGCATCTTCCAAGAGGTCACAGAGCTCCTTTACACTTGATCTTGGGTTTCTGAGAACCCCCACTTTAGATAGCATGATTGCTGGGGTGCGCCAGGAAGACATCTCCACCCACATGTTGGCCGCTGCCGGAGTGATGCCCAAGACCCCAGAGGTCCTCCGAAAGCCCGCCTGTGCCGCGGCCCACGCCCTCGGCGTCCTGGGAGGTGACGTTTGTGGTGTTTGCCATTGAGTGCAAATGAGCTTTTTGTTCAGTTCCGGAAGTGCAACTTTCAGGTTAGGTGAGTAGCTGCAGAGGTTGAGCTGCATGACAAGACGATGTCAAGCAGATGGTCTTTGGTGGCCAAAGACATTTAGCAGGTACACTCAAGGCTCCTATGAACCATACGGACTACCTAAAACCCAAGACCTCCATTGATCCGGCCAAACCAACCTTCACTGGTTCACCTCATGTTCGCTCCCATATCCGGCAGGCCCCAGCTGTGTGGGAAAGCTCTTGGAGCTTCTGAACTCCAAAGACCCTGAAGTGCACCTCGGTGAGACCGGCGGATGAACAAGACTGTTGGGCCATGGCGCTCTCCATCAAAGGATATACACTCTGACTCACTTACTAACATTTACAGTAAGTGGAAAACCGTCCCACTTTCCTCCACGAACAGGTGGTGGTTTTCCACTGCCAGTTATGTCTAGAGAGCCTGACTGGCCCATACATACACAATATATATGTCAATAGGGATGAGGTCCCAGTATAGTTGCTATACAGGTACATGCCATATACTTTTGGCTCAAGTGCCCAATCAGGCAAAAAGGAGCTTTAGCGCGCGTGCTTCATGTTGAACTAAGGGCTAGAACGGGGCCAGGGCACACTTTCCATCCGTTCGCAGGTTATCAGCCGTATCCGGACTCCTTTGAGCTGGGTACGTGCTGCGGCCTTACACAACACCATCTAAACACACACGCATCGGATAGATCAGTTACCCTCAGTCACTGAGGATGGACCAATCCGACGCCAGCACTGCATCTTTTGGAGCAGCTGCTGCGGCCGCAGATCGGATGAGTGCATCCCACAACTCTAGTCCAGGTACGATCGAAGCGGAGACTCTGACAGTGGTGAGAGAAGGTGCGACAGGTAGAGCACGAAGTCGTTCCCCGTCAGCGCAATCGACACCACCGGGGGGGACACCGAGGTCAGGCCGTAGCCCTAGGGAGACAAGGAGGAGGACTGACACCGGAGCCGTGAGAGTGCTAGCATTGGAGGATGGGTCAACTGTACCGGTGCCGTCGGACAGCGAAGCTGGAGATGGAGCAAGGGCAAGCACTGACAACCTACAACTAGCACGGGCCGATGGAGACCTCAATGCGAAGTGTGCACAACTACTTGCCGAAGTGCATATGTTGAACCACCAAAACGCATGGATGGTCGAATGTGAGCAAAGACAGAACCAGATTATACAACACGAGACCGAAGTCCACGAAGTAGTGATGGCACACCTCGAAGAATGTTATGTCGAAGGATATGGAAATCAACGAAGAATCTCCCAACTTACGGAATCCAGAGACTGTTTGCTCTCAGCAGCACACGATTTACAATACCAGATTGACACTGATCGTGTGGCAATGCGGGATCGTCTCACCCAGTTAGGGGAGTACGCTGATCGCAACAGCGCAGAGATGGTTAGTCAAGTTGTGAACATCGGCACGGAAGAGATCCAGGCTATATCGGCGGAAAGAGATCGAGCCGTAACCGAGCTCATGACTGCAGTCGCAGATGCTGAGAACATTAGGGATCTGTATAGACAGGAGTTAGTTGGACTACAAAGGCAGAGTGCCAGGAACAAACACGAATAATCCCGTCCCCCTAATAATAAACACGGCCCCCCCCCCCCTATTAAAAAAACCTCGGTCGCATTTTTTTTAATAGGGGGTCCCTGAAATCGGGGGGTTCAAAATAGGCTCAGTGGATGTGCACTAGTTTGTTGACCGTGAACTGCAGATTTCGTGGCAGGTGCAGTACTTTGCTGACCTTGAAGTGCAGATTTCGTGGCAGATGCAGTACTTTGCTGACCTTGAAGGGCAGATTTCGTGGCAGGTGCAGTACTTTGTTGACCTTGAAGTGCAGATTTCGTGGCAGGTGCAGTACTCTGTTGACA